CCCTCACGGGACAGCAGGAGGGTGACGGGAAAGAGCGTGCCAGGTCCCGACGACGCGGCGCCGTGGACAGAGGGCAGGGCGTGGGCAAGGACACGCGTCACTCCCTCCTGGTTCTGTGCCCGCGCAGGCGCCTTCGCCTCCAGAAAGTGGGCAGCGTGGCAGGAGGAAGCAGAGACCAACACGGGAGGCACCGCGGGGTCACGGGCCCTGGCCGGCTTCGATGCCCACGTGGTCTCAGACACCTTCTGCGTTCCCACTCGTGGGGAAAGGGGCTGAGAGGGGCCGTGTGCGAGACGGTGCCATGGGAGGGACGTGGCTGAGCAGAGACAGGGCGGCGCTGGAGTCGGAGTCCGTGCAAACCAGCAGCCCCGTCTCCCATCAGAGGACGGCCAGGAAGGTGCCGGCAGGTCACCCGGGGAGCTGCTGCCCTTCGACTTTGACCAGCTAGCAGCAGCACGGACCGCGCCCGCCCACTGCCCGGCCCCCACGCCGGGGCGCCCGGCCCTGCCCAGCTGCGGACCCAATGTCACTAGTGAGGGGCGTTCTTCCCTCGTGCACCCACAGCGCCGGCGCCTGTGTTCAATATATTGTGCCGTCTTCATCGAGGCAGGACAGAAGTGCTTCTTGGTCCTGGTAGGCCCAATTCAAAGCTAGTTCCAGGTCCACTCTGGACGCCGTGATGTTTCTGGCATCAGTAGATTGCACAGAGCAGCTTTAATGAACTGCACGTGTTTCACGGGTCTTTAAACGATTTACTAGAAACAGCGCTTTACACTAGATAAGAAATGGTTTTCAACACACAGTGACCTTCGTGATCGTAGATCCTTAAGTTTTCTGGCTCAGGGATATATAGAAACCGGGGCAGGAAACAGGGAAATCTTCTACATTTTCTAATCTCACGCTGCGTGGACGTGAGAAATGAGAGGAAAAGTCTAGACGTTTCTAGACTTCAGGTGCCATCGACACTCGCAAGTGCAAACCTCACGGTTGGCGAACAACTCCTCATGTACAGGGAGGACGTTACTCTTCTCAGAGTTTTCTACGTTCGTTCTCTGGCGTCACTGTCCACCTGGGACGCGACAGGGATGAGCACGCTCTGACTTGGGGTGCGTCTCCGAATGCCCTGCGCGCCCAGGACGTGGCGAGCGGCAACCTGACACAGCCCTGCATGTGGCAGCCCCCAGCGCCCACCGCC